TTAGAATAAGCTGCTTTCATTGACTTTGGGTGGCTAACACCTTATAATGATATATTGTGCAATCTATGGGATTTTTCTAAATCATTGTGTAATTTCAAGGAGTGTGAAATTACTCTGCCGTGGAAGGCACCTTATCATTATGAGACAAAATACGTAAAGTTTTGACTACTAAATTTATTAAAACTGTATTTCATGTTATTTATCTATTTTCATTCAAAATTTCGTTCAGGTCTGATTGAAAAGATTGGCGAGATTATCGAGAAACAGGATCCAAATGGAACGTTTGATCTTTCAAACAGAACAGAGCCGTATACTGATGCAACCCTTATTGCTCTTTGTGAAAGAAGTACGTCAAGTAATTTATCAGGAGCCAGATACTCCTATCTGCAATTAATTTTTCACCACATCATTAAATGAATCGACCTTCCGAAATCTTTGAATGATAAGCGCCTCTGATACTCCTCTTACAAGCACCTCTTCTATTACACTGAACGTGAATAATTATGTCTATCTATTGCTTTCGTTCTACAACCGTTTGCTTGAGCATTTTAAGACTACATCTGCCAACAAGTTGGTGTGTAGAAGTGAACACCATCCAGCTCTTTTCATCAGGAACAGAATTCTACTCTTAAAAGATCTACAATCGGCGACGAAATTGATGACTTCGACTATTTCAGCCCCATATTACCTCCATTTTGTCTCTTTTGTTCTTGTTAAGTCAACCTACTCGCCCCCCTTCTCGCTAAATAAATTTTATATGGTGATTCATGATCTTTTAGCTACATACAATGAAATGTGGAAAGGTGTCTTGCCAATGAATTAGAGTGTGGTAAAGACATGCGTGTTATTCTACACGTAAATAAGACTCCTAAAACTTGATGTGTCAAGTAAATTTGACGCTGATTGTGGATGTGTCCCTTCTTTATAAACCAAACAACGCCTACACACCTGGACCATGTTCATCAAGCAACCTTCCAATATAGCATCCTGATTGGAACAACCTTTGGATAATCTAACCTTTACAGGGACCATATTTGAAACATATAGAACCTTCGGGCAAGATAAAGGAATATCAGCGGTGTTCGAGTCTTGAAAATTTGCAAAATACAAGCATTTCATGCACTTTTCCTTCCCTATCACAGTTCTGTAAACCTAATCCGTATCAGGTCGATAGCACTAAGATCTCTCTTTTCAGCTGACTTATCGTATTTTCAACGTTTTCAGTTCCATGGAAAGATCTTCTTACCAAACGTGCCATACAGGAGTCTGCACCATCTGAAGCTGGTGACGTCGGAAAAAGAATCATTGATATAGTGTTTGAGAATCCCCATGCAGGGAACTGCATCGAAGGTGTGTATTTCCATCCAAACCATACGACCTCATTGGTGACCAAGACATAATTTCTCCTCACAATATCAACACAATTTCAAGCAAACAAGTGATGAGAATAGAGATAAATATCCATTTAGGGATTATTAGCTGATCCAATGCTAACTAACATCGTAAGAATTGTATCACAGACTGTGAGGAAAATTACTTATAAAATCTTGGGAGTGAAAAAGTTAATTCTTCCTGGCAAGAGAGAGAGAGTTTTGAATTTGTACACGTACTTCGATCAGAGGGATGTCTACATGTGATGTGCGCCACCGTTATACTGATATGATCATAAAAGAATAATTTCTGAATTTCATTTGTTTCAGTGAAAATCTACAAGAAGGCTGTGGACGTGATTAAAGAAGTAAGTAGTCTTATTGTCATTGTATCCATTTAGTAGGGGCAATAATTACAGATGTGAATTTGGGAAGTATTTACCAATATCCCTATTCATGATTTTATAATTAACGAATTATTGGGATAAAAAAGGTGCTTTATTGAGATATTCAGACCGAGAAGTAATTTAGATATGCAAACTTCAGAGTTTTATTCATGTATAACCCTCACAGATTTTGTTCGTCTCATATCAACAATTAATAACCACGAACATTTTATAACTTCCAACAATGGACTAAACACTCCAAATACTCCAGCATTGTGTTAACGCGCTTTATTTAAGAAACGATGTTGTAGTTGCGGTTCGTTCAAAGCGGTTAAAACTAAAATACAAGCAAAGAAAAGGACGTTACAAAGTGAACTAAACGCAACGGAAAGATGGACCAAAGCGACACTTACATTTGTTAGGAGCTGGGAAAAAACTGCACTGGATGCCGTAGGGCGAAAAATGACCACTTGGAAATAGCAAGCGAAAAACCTGACCCGAAAAGGCTTACACGACCTTTAGATACTAACGAATATATTACAATAAATTACTCGACTAACACGCTAGAATACATTCCGCACGCACGACGAACTAACATACAAAAATCCCAAAGGGCAAAAACAAAAGACACTAATAAACGGGTGTTTAGGTATTTACATATTTAGTGTGGTCTGCCTGTGGTAGAGGCAAAGGAAGCAGTTTCTTTTTGAAATGAGTAAAGGACCGGTCAGTATTTATCATTTGGGTTTCTGTTGGGAGTGGGGGAGGGGGGTTTAAGGGTTGTGCCACGATAAATTTTACCTGATCCCTCTCTGTAATATTTCTAGTCCCCCCTTAATACTCTTCTGGTCATGATTGATCCTCCCTCCATTACCCTTGAAAACCATGTGGTCACCGAAAGAGTCCTCCATCCCCCCCAACCCTTCCCCCCCTCCCCACCCGGGGATAAATAATGACTGGTTCCCAACAACCACTTCTGTGCTTCAAAACCTACTACTACGTCGCTGCATGCCACAAATGAAACATTTTTTATTCTTTTCAGTCTATCACCCTTCAACACAGCTGGGCAGAAAACCTCAGCGCCCTGAAAGAAGCACAAGAAGGTAAATTTGATTATGATTACAAGATAATCAAAAGAGCTAGATGAAAAATCGTTAACCAATTTTTGCTAACAAGGTTTCTTTCAACTTGAAAGAGACAAATGAACATATCTCGATTTGGTTATTAAACAAAATCGCAAAGCATAAATTAAAGCACTTTTGGATTGAGTGACATAAAATCAAAACCAAAGCAATCACAGTGACCAATCAGAATGAAGGAAAATACCATTAAGAGCCAATGAGAACTCAAGTAAGTCCGACTAAACTGTCTGAAGCGCGGGAAAGCACGTACGATCAAGTCGTTAATGGTTTTTATCTATGCATCTGATTGGTTGGGGGAGTGGCACGAGTTTTGTTAGACCAATGAAAGGGCGAAGTAAATACAAAGAAATCCCGGATCACTTTCTACCATCAGTTAAACATCGCTCCAATAAACCAATAATGAATAAGGATCGAAAAGATCGATTAAAACAGATTGCAAATGAAAAACGTGAAAGAGTTTCTGCTAACCGAAACTTTTGAAGATGCATCAACCTTGACTTAGGTCTCTCGGAGGATGCTTATGATCGCATTGCAGTAATATTTCAAACCTGAGTATTTTTTACTACAATTCTGATTGAAGTGATCTATCGCATATAAATTTTGACTATTTCAGGAAGTCATGGGGCCTAGTAACCCTAGTGGCTATTTAGATTTGTGTGGACTGTGCTCCCGTATGTCACAAAAAAATTGTGGTTTCTTTTAATAAAAATTGTCGTGGTGCTAAGAGGGAAAAATCCCAAAGGTGACTATTGAATTTGTTATTAGGGCTCGAGTGAAAGTAACTTTTCCTTATCTTTCTTATTTTAGCACTGATCACGGATGTTGCGTCCCTCATGCAAAATGGACTCGTGGCTCAAGCCCGCAGAGCTGTGGGCAATTACATAGTCAGCATCGTGAGAGGAACCTTGGTAGTCAGTCACGTTATCGAAAAAAATGGCCTTGAGAATACTTCTAAGGAGCCTGAAAAGGGGCCTGAAAAGGAACCTGAAAAGGAGCCTAAAATTAAGGGGCCAAAAAGCGCGCCAAAAGCGGGGCCAAAAAGGGGGCCAAAAAGGGGGGCCAAAAGGGGAGCCGAAAGAAGGACCGAAAGGAGGACCGAAAGGAAGGGGACGTAAGCGTACTTTCTTGCGGCACTTTTAATTTTGTCCTTGGGTATGTGTGTGCTTTTTCTTATTCTTTATGAAATATAAAGGGTTATGAATAAAGCTCTTCGTATGTTATTTTTATGTTTTGGTTTACTGAGTTGCGTAATGTAGCTAATAAGCTTTACACGAATATACATCAATTTTGAGTCCTTAGGAGCACGTATAAACCTGATAAGAACAGTATTCAGCATATTCCGGTCCGAGAAAAGTTAAATACAAAATTCATTTTCAGTATATGTAGATTTTCAGCTGCGTGTCTGAACTTTTTGTTAAACAGGCACAGCAAAATATAGCATTTTGAGGGACCGTTGTTGTATACTCTTTTCTCAAAACAACTGCTGTTTCAAAATTTTGTTTTATTTCTCCGTTTGGCACAACAAAACTAAGTTTATTTACAATAGTTGATAAAAAAAGGACATTTCATTCGTGGATGATGTCAGTTGTACAATTTCCGTCAAATCAATTGTTAAAAATTGCTTGCTGAATCTACTTGTAGGTTTCCATCAAGACAACTTGACATCGTCAAGCTTAATATCACAAAACTTTGCGTAACTTCAGTTCAGACCAGTCGAAAATTGTCTTACGCATAAAAATTTATTCTGATCATTTTAACCTCTTTGAAATTTTCATCTGGTTTTGGGGCTCATCATCAAATAACATTGCGGATAGCAAAATTAATACCTTGGAGTAGTTTTTTTGGAAGGAAATCAAAAGAGAAAAGTCAATTTATTTGAAATGGGGCTAAATCAACTTGGGATAACTTGTACTGTGCACATATATAAAAACAACATAAGATGTCATGAAAAGCTGACGTTATCAGTAAAATGCATAACGGTTGGGAGATTGCTGATCAACTCAAATATTTACGAAATACCTCCGTCGATGATTGAACATAAGTTAAAATTTAAAGAAATGAAAAGATTAAAAGAAAAAACCAGAACCAAGAAAAGTATTAAATCTTTTCACTGATATTTTTTTTGGAATTTAATTAACAAATACTTTTGAAAGGATTTATGATTAGTAATCAAAGAAAGATACAGACTCCCTCACGTCTGTTCCATCAGGCAGTTGACGTCCACCGGAACCAGGCGGGTGCATCTGTTTTTGTCTTAGACGATTTTCCCATGAGGTCAAATTTAAACTGGAAAAGAAAACAGTGTTTCAAAGAAAGCACAAAACTCACACTTAGGTAGATATAATTGTCAAACGAACAGACGAACTGACGCCGGAACAAACGAATAGACGAACTGACGAACAGACGAGCTGACGAGCAGACGAGCAGACGAACTGATGAACTGATCATGAGGTGCACCGACAAATAGAGAAATAGACAAACGCACAGATCTGTTAGCAAATTAATGGTCTCAGGTAGACGTGGGTACTACACCAGTGCCAATTTTTCCAACTTACTCAATGGAGGCCATTATTGATTCCATCATAGGAAGGACACTAATAAGTGTTGAATAACAGGGTTTAACGATGCCCTTGAGAAACGAGACCTGTTCGATTAAAAAACATAAATTATTAAGAAGAAATTTAGAGCGAACTACATTTTAGCCTCCTTAGTCCTCGGAATGTGAATATAAGTGGTCATTCAATCCTGGTTTTTCTTAGGAGAGAGTTTCAGGAGAACGTGCTTCTCCCAAGACGCATGTCGTTATCTTCAGATTCACCACCCTTTCAACATCGTAATGATCGGGAGGTGGATAATTTAACACCCCGACTAAGCCAAGCTAGGCCCCTGTTTCACCCTGCGTTAGGTAAAAGTGGGAATAGCTTCCACGTGACGCGAATTATTTCATTTATAGAAATAATTAATCAAATTTTTATTCACTCTGTTCGATGGATTTAAGAAAATCTACCGCAATATCTGAAGCAAAAAAGAATTTTAGTTGTCCTGCTGTACTGAATGAATACAGCTTTTATAGTCCACACAAACTTACCTGATTTTCAGGAAGTTCGCTCTTTCTTGCTCGATCCATCATTGGCACAGGAGTCAGTCCCATAAGCTTTTCTTCATCTCCCTGTCGAAAAATACATTTAATAATTTGACTCTCAAGATCTAGGTAGTAATTCTATAGAATCCTAAACCGCAGGCAAGCAGTCGCAGGATCTGAATTATAAACAGGCCTGTTTTGCAAAGAAACTCACTTGTCGATAGAACTCTTCAAACACCCTCTTGACTGAATTGATGTGAATGTACCATGGCTTGGCAGCGGCAGACAAGTCACACGCGGTCATCAACAGCCTACGAACAAGCCGCCTGCAACAACAATCAATGTAAGCTTACATGAATTGTTGGACATAATGCCCTAAAAAGACACTACAAACAAATCAATAATTTTTCCATAAATAGCAACAGTACTTGTGATCTGGTATACTCCAAGAGAATTTTCCATTCGTGACAATGTCGTCGAGTTTTGCTCTGTTATCGAAAAACAGCATTAGGTCCGTTGCCAAGATCGCGTCTTCCATAAGTTCCAACATATACTTGTACTGCTTCGCGGAGAGTGCATTTAAAATATTATGACCAGCCGTCTGTCGATAGAATTAAGATTTGTACGATTCAAAAGTGGCACAACGCAGTAAAATTGCAACGCAATGAAAAATAAACAACTCTGGCCCCGTTTGTTCGAAGACTGGATAGCGCTATCCACTGGATAAAACTCTATCCGGTGGATAACGCTATACGTTAAGCCATCACTTATCCGCCGGATAGCGATTTATCCGTTGAATAGCGTTATCCGTTCTTTATACAACTGGGCCCAGGAGTCTTAAGATTTTAGCTGGACCATGACCAGTGAGGAGCTAATTTTTATGATGGTGCAATACATTATCAAGTAGACTGGGTAACAAAACACTGTCTGGAAAGTTGTACTGAATTAGTATGCGGTCATCAAAATAGCTAAAGTGCGCATGCGGTTGCAATTCACTCGCAGCGATATCGAGGCTCGATTTCTGCAGCGTGAAGGATTGGTTATATCCTGGTCTGTCGCAACGTGTCCTCAGAGTTTGTTTGGTGTTACTTGACAGCCTCTCGGTTCCCATTAATATTCCTGGGCTCGGTTGTTCAAAAGGCAGTAAGCGATAATTCAGGTTTAAAATTTCAACTTGTCTTTGGTTTCTCTTAAAATATAGTGTGTATTTGGACTTACGTTTTAAAAGGGGTTTTACCTTAGCGTCGCATAAAAACGAAAGGAAAAATGTATCCGATTAAGACTGTCTGTAAAGCGACAAAAAAATTGAATAAAGGATTGTTGGCTAACCCTTGGTTAGCTTAATCGTGCTTAAATAACCTGGCCCAGGTTGTGGAAAGATAATTTGCGATTTAAGTTTCTTGACGAAGAACCCACGGACTCCGGCGCAAACTCTGACAAAGGCTCAAACCCTGACCTTTCGAATAGAGTCAATGGCGCCAACCGGAATGACAATGAATCTTTGAATGAAGCATATTTAGAGTAAGATGATGAAAGCAGAGCTCGAAGCGCGCGCAGCGAAGCCTCATATCTATAAAAATGTACCCTACATTCTATTCCTACTGCGTAAAACCAATATCAGCGCGAGCTGTTTGCTCCGAATGGATAACAGCTCTTTGCCTACTTAATATTAGTGGAAACTGAAATTGCACTCACCTCCAAGATGAAAACTCCTTGTTTAAAATGATGCCATTCCATGGTTGAAGTTGAGTACAGATGACTCAGCGGGGATTTGTTCTTGATCATGAAAGCATTGTTGTAACCACGATGATCGATGTCGTGTATGATACTCGCAAGATATAACGCAATTTTCTGGAATAAAATGAGATGAATGTTCCATTCAGTTTGTTATTCATTTTGGTTATCGCTATCCTATAGGCGGGTCTGCATACAGAGTAAATGTCTCGTGAACGAAGGAAAAGAACAAAAAACTTTGATCAGACCTTACAAAAAGACTAAATTCGGTGTAAACCTCCACAAAACGCATAATTACAAAATAAAATAGATAAATAAACAAATACCTCTTCCCAAGTAAACACCTCGGAGGCCATTTTCATGAGGACACACATGCTGTGAGCCACAGCAAACGCATGCCCCCAGTTGTGGTATGCCACACCACGATAACCCTTCCTCACAGTCAAGGTAAAACGAACGAGTGTCTCCATATCAAGTCTAAAAAGATAGCCGAAAAGTCCACAGTCGAGAATTTTGTCCCGTAAAACATTCGAGCAACACGAGACGGTAGGTACATATTACGTAATTTTACCCTGAATCTAAAAATTGACTCCAACCCGAGTTTATATTTGGAAAGACACCCTTTTGTCAATCTCCTAGCTTAATCAATCCCTAAGCTTAATATAATCTTCCAATGTCATCCATTGCATAACTTGCACTTATTGCAAAAGGTATTTATAGGGGGAAACAGAAAGACGACTAGGCGACTGAATTCAGTCGATAAAATTAAACCAAATTATCTTGTTATATCCCCCATCGACGCAACACCACAGTTTCTCTAAAAACTCCCTCCCCCCCTTTATTCCATTGGTTAGGCCTGGTTACACTTAACATAACAATACAGCTTTCTGCCCCAATGATACACCCTGAATTCGTGCCAGCGATCTTTCCTGAACCTATATAAAATATCCGTACATTTTTAGTTGTTACCTGACGTTGCACTCTTGGAAGAACTCGTTTGTCATAATAATGAAATAGTTTGTTAGTTCGTCGTCATTTTGATATACATTGAATTCATTGCTGAAAGAGGAAGGAGAAACGTAAAGGTTTGTTTCAACTGCGAAAGAAAAAGACTCGTTTTTGCAGATAAAATCTGCACCACAGTTTCTTACTTATCTTTGGGTCTTTATTCCGATAGGCGCTCAGGGTTTTTCTTTCTCTTTGTGGTGGAGGTTGCGTGGGGGATTCAGTAGTTAAAGAGATTTAATGATATTTTCTGATTAGAAAATTTATATCACCGTGAGAAAATACAAAATCTGTGCTCAAAAATATGTAAAAAAAAAAACACAAAAGTACCAGTCAACAAGGAAGAGTAAGATTCACGAAAAGTTTTTAGCTTATTTTACACTTTGTCTCATTTAAAAGGCATCATCGAATCTTGCATGGAAATTTTCACAATAAACACTACAATTTTAAAATTAACCATATCTGTTAGCATTTATGTATTCATGATTCAAGATGTTTTTTGCAACCTTACCTATAAAAATCATTTGGCAAACTGCAGGAGGTCGCTGAGGCAAGCCATAGTTCAGTTTCTTTTTCTGATACGCAGCAGTGATATGTAAGAACTTCTAGTGCCACTTGGTGCTTCTGTTGCCCTCTGAAGAGCTGACCGTACATCTGGTAGCATAAAAATTAAAATTTTTTGTGACAGCGGAAAGGAATACAGAATGCAGGTACCTACTGGCTTTCATGGCTCCCCTTTCCAATCGCAACTTTCGGCCATGTGATAGAGAAATTTGAAGAATTATTGGAGGGGGGGATGGGAGAAAGGGCTAAAGAGGGTAATTACCACCGGTAGACTTGAGTTGGAACCCTGATCGATAGGTCAAGGAACGAATCTTGCCATGCTGCCGGGGTCATTGTGTTGTTTACTTGAGTGGGACACCTACACAGTCGACCAGCGACTTCGGCCGGTTCAACTCTTAGATCTGACTTATTAAATTCAGAGATAGGATACGATGAAAAATAAAATTTTTTAAATACGACCCACCTGACTGTAATGCAGAGCCAGTCCACAGTAACCAGCAAATAACTCAAATGCTCTGGCATCTAAACAGATATCACAGACAAAAAATGGACTCCGCATGCATGAAAGAATGCTACCGCAATACTGATGTACTTAGCAACTGTGTGGGAGCGCCGGCCGGAAAATCGTTTGTCAAGATAAAAGGACGGAGCTCAACAAGGTCTTAAAGCATGGGCGAGAGCCACAAATTTTCTCGCGTGGCCCGACCTAACTCAGTCAAAAGGTATTTCATTATATGACCCCCGTTATTTGTCTTTCTTTCTTTCTTCGTTCCTTCCGCATTTTGCAGTACCGTTCGTAAAGCCGTGTGGCTCTCTAAGGCCCTGCTTGAGAATTTGTGCATAGCCCTTACGGGGAGATTTTTTTTATGCCTTTTTATAAGAGCACGCGGGACCGTATAGGTCATATAATTAGGACAATTAAATTTTACTTGCTTGTCTGTGATATTCTTCGTATTGTTTCAGTTAGTTAATATCAGTTTGAGTTTCAGTTTTTACAGCTGAGCTGTTTTCCTTAAGAGGTAAGCATACATTCTCATTTACCTTCATTTGAGAAAAATCCTCTTTTACTGTTTACCATCTGAACGACACCAATTACACTACGGAACAAAGAACAAATTTGAATAAGGTGTTAAAATTTTGCAGGAACATATTGTATCACTGCAAGCTATGTTCGCCTCTCCTCTGGATATATGGAATTTTAAACTCAGTGAAAGGGATTTCCTTCGAATCTTCTTTGTTTACTTATGTTAGGAATGAAGTTTCGAGCTAGATCCTCTCTAGTTTGCGACTTTTACATTTGTATTTACTCTCAAAAGCGACCAAGTTAAGGATTTCTTGCCTTCCTTTGCAACTAACGGGGACACACAGAATGGATTTTGTTATATAGCCCGTCTTTATGTCCACTTCACGGTTGAATCTCGTATCACGGTATGGGTCGCTGATGTTCACAGTTTCTGATGTACTAGCAGCAAAGCCGGCGATGCCTTTATTGATAGGAAATCTAGAAAATAAAATTTAAAAGAAGCATGAAGATAAGAAAGATAGATATTCTCACAGATGAACTGTAACTGAAGATATTGCAGAAACTTAGGCCTGGAAAATTCAATTCCAAAAAAAAATTCAATCCAAATTCAAGCTCCAAAGGATTCCAACCTAAAGCTGTTCTAGTTTTTCAGTCCGTAAAACGAAGCGCGATAATTAGAGGCGTGATAGAAGCGGAGAAGTGAAAAAAACCAAGGGAGGTTTTGGTCGAGATCCGACCGAAATCTACTCGTTGTTTGCATGTTGACTCGCCCTACGTAACTATACACCAAAACGCCTAATGAGATTTATATACTCTCCCACTGACGCAACACCGCAGTTTCTTTAGAAGCGTACTCACTCTATTCAAACTTTACCTTCCCAGAGTTAAGAATCCAGCATTTAGCAACGAGCAAATTTTAAAAGTTATTGTTCTATGTTAGGGAATCTGATTAAAAATGAATGGAGTAAGTTATATTTTGACCTGTATATTATAGATCCTCATAAGTGCATTAGAATTGAGGAGGTCGCATTAATAGAATTTTCAGTATTTTTGTCTGTCTGTCTTTGTCTTTGTTTTAATACCTTATTTCTGCTCCGTTTCTAAATTTGTACCCTAAACCATCCTCGTCTCCCTCGTCGAACAGATTGGCGTATAACTCATTGGATTTGGCGTCCACCATGAAGAGCGCGCAGCGATCAGCATTAACTAACCGCTTGGCAAAAGCCTGCATGTGATAGAAACAGTAGTAACAAAAGACAAAAGGAAATGAAATGTGCACTTTCTTTCTCAATTCTTATCAGGGCGGAAAGCAAGCAGCTGTCGGAAAATCTCTCTACTATGCACTCACCATTATTTTTTCAATTACCACATCCATAGTACTAACTTCGTCAAAAATGGATCTGAAAGATGAAACCGTCACACTATTCATTTATTTGTTCACCAAAAGGACAACTGCTTTTAATTTAATGGTAGAGGTTAGCTCTTCTTTCGCCGATTTTCTCAAGTAAACTTTGTCTGTTTATTTCCAATGAAAGTTACCATGAGTGAATTATACACAGACCCCAATGTCTTGTTCCTGAAAACGTTCTTAATTAAGACGTTTGTAGTCGAGGGTTCTTGGTATGTCGTCGACCAACAAATGAGATCTTTTGTTCAGATAACAGGCCGAGGCTCGCATAAGGTGATCTTGAGTGATAATGTTCTTTTCAAAAATTGTGACAGTCTAATTTCATGAGGATTAACAGACATACATCATAAGTATTTTCTTTTACACTCTTACCTTACAACATTCAACAGGAAACTATTTAGATCTTTTTGCTTTTGCATTTGTTTTGAAATCTAGAGGGGATTGCAAACGAAAAATTATTGGTAAATTATTCGAAACAGCATGTGTAAGCTTCACGATTGATGCATTTTGCTTTGTGCACTCTGTATGTTTTAATGAAAACCCAGTAGCTCTTAAAACAAGAACATCGACAGAAAAGCCGCTTAAATTCTTAATGCAACTCAGTTCTACATAGCTGGTCTATGTTAATGGCATAGAATAACTGATAATTTAGTTAAAAGTAACCCATGAGAGTCTTTGGATGGAAGAAGGGCGCGCCTTGTTACTCAACCTAGTACCCTGAGTTTCTCTTCTCTACCATGCACCTCCCCTTCCCCCAAAAGATCACAGCTGTTACTTATACTTGTACTTACCTCAGCATGATGAATAGCTATACTACCCCAGGCAAGATAACTATTAACGATCTGACAGAGCAAACAAATAAAAACAGATAAACAAACAAGAAGCTGTTTAAGAATGGCAAAAATGACTGAGCACTGAAGAAATGATGAACTGAATCCCGCTGAATCTCGCTCTCCATGATCGTTTTGGTCATTGATGCGCTTTGGTATGGTGTGAGAAAAACTCTCCTCCCATGCGGGTAGTTCTCAGTCTCCTAATTTTTCTCGTTAGTGCATGCGCAGTGAAGAATGCGCGTAGCAAACTGGAGCGAGTCTAATGTGACTTATTTATCCCTTGGAGTTTATTCCCCTGAACTTATTTGCAGTGAGAAACTGGTTTATCCATGATTTCCAGCTCTTTCCATTTTCTATACGCAATTGGCAAAATGCTGCAACACAAAGCAATTACATTACTCACCTCCTCGTCTTCCCGTTCAAATGATGGGTTGCCAAGTTTTTTTACCAATTCGACAATACCTGGAATAAAAACCAGAATACCGTGCTATTTGCTACAAAAATTTGTCACGCCATGAACAATAAAGAGTGATTCTACCAAGGAATTCCTTAGTTTGTTTCCTTCCCGTGGTGCAGGCTGAATTTTGATGGAAGGGTCTGTAAACCTGATTGATTTAATTTCTGCCTTTGAACAAAACTTTTTCTACAGAAAATATCCTTTGAGCTGGCTCCATCATAAGTGCGTAGTGTGCATCATTAATCGAGTTCTTTCATTCTCAGGGTCTAAGCAGAAATTATCTTCTTTGAGTTCCATATTTTTTTTAAAAATTTGCTCCCTTGAACTTTTATCACTCTCGTTTTATTTGTCACCTATTTCTTTACTCCTAAGGCAACGTGTAGCGTTATCCACTGGATTAAGATTTATCCTGTGGATAGCGTTATACACCATTGGAACAACCTGGCCTGGGGTTTTAATTTTGTGTTTGGCATAAAATCGCGTAAAATTAGAAAAAGAACCATTTTCGTACCAACTATAGTTCCATCGGCTTGTACAATAGGCTGACACAATACAGACTGGGCTGTGCTGTCTGAAACAAAAAGAAACACAATTCCAAAAGACTATCAGTTATAACCGTCATTTCTACAGAGTGGGAATTAGTTCACGCACGGGACTGAATCGTTCATATAAGTACACTCATGAATGGTGGCTTACGTATTGCTGCTTAAATGAAACAAAGGCAACTTGGGAGAACAACAAAGCAGCGACCCTTTTTCATTTTCTTCTATGCAGCGATCAAATTCAGACAGTCAATCGTAGAAAGTTTATTTGTGATTAGCTTTGCTCATATTTGATCACGTTACATTTTTTTTTGGTAACGCTTCTACCGACTTCGAGAGGGGTTTAATTTAGTTTAGTTTGGAAAGAAATAATTGCTACAGCCAAAAACTAAATAAAAAAGAATCCTAAATGTTCGTCTCAGTATTTTGCTGCAGCAGAGAGAGAAAGTTAGTTCGTTGTTCCGTCGGATGTTAAGCAACGTCTCACTTAAGTTATTGAGGGCATCTGGATTCAGTGTCAAGGAAACAAAATCTAACAACTTCACGGCCAATCAAAACAAAGTGCGACAATTAAGAAGCGATTTTCTTTACGTTTGAATCTGATTGGCCGAGAGAGCGGCTCGAGTTTTTGTAGACCAATCACAGAGAAAAGTAAAGCAAAACAAATTCAATCCCTAATTTCTTTGGAAATTCAATTGAAAATCACTCTAAAAGAATCTGGGCGCAACTAACCTTCAATACCAATTCCTTTGGGAAATCTCTCGTCCTATGACAAAATAATAGATAATAACTTTAAGTACTAATGTCTGACTGCAGTCAGATTGGCAATCTTAAATCACAAGGTGTTGCGTTGGTTTACTTCGCACAAAGAACTTATTCCTTGACGCAACGAGTCGTCATTCATTTTGCTTGAGTTAGCTTTATTGCTCTTTCATAACAGATTCAGTACGCAAACGTTCACATGAAGGTTAATAGAAAACGCACAACGAAAAAAATGAATTAATATTGACCAAATTCCTCACCACCTCACGTGGAGCTGGCTGAGTTGGACAACGCTTTCTCGATTTGGTTAATCTAAGTCAAGTTTTAAAATGGTTAGGTCATTAGCTAGACGAAAAGGCCATAATATAAGCTGAGTCAGTTTGGATAAGGTCAGAACATCAGAGTTTACATTTGTCTCTGCAAAATGTGCCTTTGTTTTGCACAATAACAAACTTTGATAAAAGGTTTACCCCGAGAATATCTTTAACATAAAGCCTTTGACCCGTCTCAGCGACATAAGCCGCAATCGTGCCACCACATCCAATTTTCTGACGACAAAGAGACCGGGATCTACAAAACCAAACCAAGAAAAACAAAAAATCAGATTCATCGCTGAAGAAAGTGCAAAGCTGTTCGTACATAAATTTGAATCGACATAAATACACTTAAGAGAACCAGGAATGCCTTTGCTTTACCTCGGCTTGTTCTCTGAATACAGATAAATGTCCTGTGAGATTGAGAGAATATAAGAATATGGTTTTTATCCCATTAGTACTTAAGAAAAACATAATAACTCTTTGTGCTTCAGTTTAAATTAATTCGTTATAAAAGTTATATCTAAAAACAGATTTAGTGCAAACGTGAACATGAACTTTGCCAGTTTCTTTTAGTAAATTTAAAAGACAAAATTGTACAATGTCTCCCATTCTAAACGTATGCCAATATTTTCGAGCAAATGATTGAAAGACAGTAGTAAAAAAATCTATTCTTGCCTTATGCTCTTACCGGCTCCTAACCAGTCAGAAAATATCGAAAATAATGAATGATTTTTTAAGTTTTATACCCTAACAAACGATTCACGTTTTTTCGTGCAGCACAAAGTACTAAATACACCTTATCGTCAAAAAATTCCGATGAATTTGGAAAACCATTTCATCAGAAGTTTGCAAAACTTGAAGTGAGTTTTTTTTTGTCTGTTTTGATTATTTCTTTTTCTGTTCTTGTTGTTATTGTTGTTTATATACAAAAATGTAGTTAGACTCAAGATTGTATATGAATGTCAGATGATAAACATAATTAACTTAGATTTTTGAAAGTAAGATCAATAAGAGCTCACCCTTCCATTTTTGTCCACCAGGTAAAGTGAATGTACGTTTGCATGAGTGGCTAGGAAACACAATATTGACAATTGTTGATAGACAAAGGGTTCATTTGGTATAATTATCGGCTTTTAATCATTCCTACATCCTGATGTAATTATGAAGGCTTTCATCAATTCTTGATAAACAGCATCCTTGTTTTTCCTATTTTGCATTGAAGCTATTTTTGTTTTCTTCGATTCTTACAGAAGTCGTGCGAAACATCTCAAATTCCAATAACATCAGAAACTGTGCGTAGTGATGAGCAAAAATCAATCTCGTTGACGGAGAAGAATCAATATTACAACTTGAGATTATCTAGAGATAATTTTCCTCTCCAATAAAGGAAAGGAAAAGTAAAATGGAATGACAATACATGTAGTTTTAAATCATCGCAAGTCAAACACGACAGAATTCCTTATTACCTGCAGCTACGCTTTTGACGAGCTCGTGCATAACTCTGACTTTTTTTGGCTGTTGATTGATGTCTTTCGTCAGTTGCTGGAGCATTTTGCGCTTGTCGGTATGAACACAAAACTACTCACGCCAAAAACAAGAAAACATAAATCTATTATTAATGAAAATCGTCGTGCGATCAAATGAACAGATGACGATGTAGAAGTTCAATTTATCAGCGCATGTGTACATAATCAATATTCCTACCTTCCATTTGGAGAGAGATGTTCTCACAGCTAGGAAAATGGAGAAGAAATGTATTGAAGAGAAATTAAACAACTTTTAATTCTACGCAATTACCCTCAAAGAGAGAAAAAAAACCAGACTTTGGGTTTAATTCACAGCCAAGAGCAAAATCTTATAGACTACAGGCCTAAAGTCTTTATAGAAAAAGGCCATAGGAGGCATTTGAAAGGGCTAAAACTTAACAAAGATAAAAGAATCATACCCGGTTTACAATAAAGCTTTAACACATTTTAAAGCTGTTTTGTTAAACACGGTTTAAAATTGTCTTCTTCACTAAAAGCTGCTCATACCGATGTTTGTTCGACTTATAATTCATTCAGTAAATGGGAAAATAAGTGACTACTTGAAACCTAAGGAAATTCAGTTTTTCAGTTCTCTGTTTTCGATTTTCATCCAGTTAAACCTGATTTAATTTCACATGTTTATCTGGTGTGAATGAGTATTAGGCCGTGTAATAAAATTGTCATTCCAATACTACCTTCCCCTTTAATGTGTTCTGTGGATTGTGTCTTTCGGATCAGCCATCTCTCGAGCTGCTCTTGGCTTATATCTGCCATGATAAAATCCTCCAACACTTGTGGGTTGGCTAAAAGGTATTCTTTGACACGCATTTCGGAGAGAACTATTATGAGAAAAATACATTCTGAATAAGTGTAACTGTGTGGAGTTAGAAAAAGTTAAAAAATTTTCAGAAAGAACTGTTGTACTTAACAACCTACAAAAACCCTAAGCAAAAGATAAAACTGGTAGTTTCCTATTGTTTTGTTTATTGTTTACTTTACAGGGTAAGAGATGGTTTCTAATCCTGCAAGGAAATCCCACATAAATCCGTGCGTTTAAGTTGAAGAAGGTCACCAAAATTTGTAGAATAACTGATATAAATAAATCATTAAACGAAAATAACGAAAACGTAAATACTAAAAAGCAAGACAAATATTTAAATAAAAGAACCCTTTTTGATTTGAAAACTGACCGATGATAAAAACTCGATAAGTAGCTAAGCAAATAGTTAAAAAAAAGGGTAAAAATGATTCAGAGATTAAACTTGAAATGCACACATTTTGCTTAAAACATGGTTGGTAATTAAGAAATTTTTAAAAGCCATCTTCCTTTATGATGAGGGCTCAACTAAAAACTAGAAATGACAGAACAAATAAAAAAAAAGAAAAGAAAAAAACACCATGGGGTGTCAATAAACTTTTTTCTTCACAGGGCTTCAAAAAGCTTTCCGAATTACATGAATAAAACATTGACATCCTTCCGTCTTATAATTATACTAAAATGTCAAATTTCAATCTTAGCGTCACCTGGTGTGGTTGATTACAGAATTTCTTTATCGTTATCTCCCTGTGGCGGGTTTTGTTTTATATCATGAGAGCTTTAAAAGATTTAGTGCTCAAGCTGATACGTTTTTTATAAATAATGAATGATTCTGTCTCTATGAATAGTCTGGCTTTAAATGAAAATATGCCTTAATTAAGCTTATTTTCGATCGACAGCTCCTGGCGGCCCAAGACATAACAGCCATAGCAAATAACATTCATATTTGTTGTTAAAAAAAATGATAATAACCTTTAGGGATCGTAAATAATGTTTTCTCCTCTTTTTGGTGTATTAATATTTGATATAAGAAAATTGAGCTGCAGACAAATGATGAAACCGTTCCTTTGGTTAATTTGTCGCGTATTCGAGTTGAAGAAAAACAAAATTGATTTGCATTCACACTATGATCTGCGTCTGAAACGGCGCTTGCACGAAAATAAATGAATAAAGTTGCAGACGAAGGAAAAAAGAAAAAGCATTAAAAATGGGCCAGGAAACTGTAATAATAAAAATAAACTAAAAAATCGTTATTTGCACACGTCCAAACAGAGAAACTTCACGCAGAACAAAATGTAAAAACGCGCGCTTAGCGGTAAATGTTTACACAGAATGGTTTACTTTCTAGTCATCTGATCAACAGTATTTTGAAAAGCTTAATTTCAGTTGGGGTCTTCAAAGATAATTTTAGAAAGTTCCTGTTATTAATATCAGGTCATATCTCATCCGAAATGATTGAGTTTATCTCGACATTCTGTATGCAGGAAGCACTGAACGCACTATTCGGAAGTAAAGGCGCATTATTTGCCTTAAACCTATAAGCACTCACCAGGATTATGCGTCAGGAAAGACGAAATTTAAGACCTTACCGCCGGGAGAGACTCGATTATCATCAAAAGTAAGGCCTAGGCGACGGCTTTAATTTTTTCGGAGTACTTTCATCTATTTATATTCAAACAGAGTGCTTATCGTGCCACAACAAATAATGAACAAATACCCAAACCCTAATAGAGGCAAAATTAAGAACTGTACAAAAAATTATTCCTAGCTTAATACTGGGGAAAACTAAAGAAAATTTAAAGAATAAATCTTTCTCAGGTTTACCTCCGGAAGGTTTTGTTTTAATGCTGCCTCCGGCGTGATTTTCATTATTCGAGTTGACAGTTTCTCTTATGTTCCTCTGTGTTAACTGATTCGGAAGCGGCGGCAACCTTCGGATACTAACTTGCTTTGTAGGCGACGACATTGTCCTTCCAAGCTTGAACATTTGCTGGGAAATGATAAAAAAACACCGCAACTGAAACGCGCTCCAAAGCCATTCCCTCTACCATCCACTGTTTACGTCGCACGAATCGTCATCTGACGGAAATTTAGACTACGGCGTGCGCGCGCGTGCTGATTCTCGCGATGCGGTGAGATATTTCCGGTTTTAAACCGAGAGATGATGCAAACTGAAGAAAAAAGTAACAAGGGTACTGCACCGTTGTTTGATTAATTTCGAATACTGCGAAAACCTGAAATAACAGTGCAAGGTCTGTTCGGGATTGAAACAAGATCTAAAAAAGTCTAGAAGCAAATTAAAGATTTCTGATTTCTTGACCAATTTCTTTTGCTAATGGTCAACAGGAATCATGTCGAGTTTCGTTTTAGACAGACAGTCATCTCAGCGCTGATTAATATTTTGCGTTAGTCATTTCGGCCGAAATTGTTTTTGAAACGCATCCAAAAACTCACAGTTGTGCAAATTGTGCCCCTCTCGAAGGTAATAACTTGTCATATGATTTTAAATGAAGTATCCTGAATAATTTATGTCAGATTCGAAACTCACTGTATGAAAGCAAATTTGGTGTCCGGCCCTGATTACTTTCGGAAACTGTTAATTCGCAGTGAGGTAAAAAACGTGACTCATCGCAGAGAATCCTGGGTTTTTTTCTGACCCTAAAGGTATTCTTTATCATCCAAGATTAATTGGTTTTCATGGTATCCAGTGTTTTTAGCATGTTTGCATGTATGTTTCCTTACTCAATCGTATTTTTAACTGGGCGGTAAACTGAAAGTTAATAATACTAGCTCTCAAGACAGATCTAGCCTTGGCTTTGGTTTGAAACTCGGTCTGAAAGATCGCAACCACTTTTAGCATTTTCAGTGGTTTTGCCAGACTAGAAAAAAAAAGCTTTTTGAATGTTTTTGTTTTGCTTCGTTTGTTTTGCTTTTGTTTTTTGTTTTTTGTTTTTTTCAATGAAAACAAAATGTTTGACCAAACGAAAGGTAAAGAAATGGAGAATAAATAGGTTTCATGAAAAAAAGCAAAAACGACCAAAAAAAAAAATAAATAACAAAATAAAACAGAGAATAAGAAAGTGGCATTACACGACAAAGTTACTTAATCACAAATGGGTTTCTTGGAGGCGACTCGTACAAAGTTTCCGTGCGATTGACAAAATATTGAATATTAAAGTTCTTTGTCAAACAGGTCAATCCAAATTGTCGTTAGCATTTTAGAAGATGCTGACAATCGTTTTAATTTGAACAGCTGACGAAAATTATGGCGCTAGAGGCTAAGCCATTAACACCCGCGTAATTGAATTCGTGTCAGTGTACATAAAGATTACAAAGAAAGTAGACTTTAAAATGCAGCGATGTAAAACTTAAAGATTTCCTTATCTTTCACGCTTTTTGCGTCCTCTTCCTACGCATCATACATAAATTCGAAGAAGTAATGCGAAAATGCAATCAAACTACCTTTAATAGGCTTGTGTAAACTTTTACGTGGGCCAAGTTGGGACCGAGGATGACGAGAATCGCTCTTTCAAACATTTTTTTTTTCCGAGAAGAAAAGAATCGTTTTTAAAAACCGACGCTAACTTTACAAATCGTAGGTTCATATTTTTAGTTTTAAAAAGCCAAATCACCATACATTGGTACATGCTCGTAACCAAGTCTAAACTAACAATAAAAATCTTCTCCTTCTTTTTTTTCTCATTTTTTTCGATATTAGGGTGCATTCTCCTTATCATGATTCACCTTGGATATGCTCGAACATGCTTTGGAAAATGCAATTGGCGGTAGAGAGATACACACATTCGAAAAACAGTTTAAAATAAAATATTTTTTAATTCGTTCTCATTCGATACTTATTCATACAAGTCCATATGGAATATAGAACGGGTGAGGCTGGTGCCAAAAGGATCTTGGCATTCCATTCGGCAAAAAACGATTCCAGTGTCCTCTCATTCAGATGCTCCATGAAGGTATATTGGACAGTTGGTGACAGTGTGTTTACATTTGTAAACCTACAGTCACAATTTCTGCTCTTTCATTCTGAGGTTGTCAATATCTCTGCTCTCCGAGACTAGTTACGACACAGCCTCTGTGTAATTCTGATTTTCGTGGCTGTTCAAGTTTTTTTTTTTCGCTGTTGGGTTGACCCAAAACGTACTCAGACATTTGGCTTCCTACGGGAGAACATACAACATCAAATAGGTTATGAGGTTAGAATTACGCGTCATCAAACGTTTAACCCAGCGCAAGTTAAAAGCTCTTCACGTCAAAGTCAGTTTGCAGAATATGGCCTTCTTTTTTATAAGTTTATTCCTACACGAGCGTGGAGCTAAAAGAGGCGCCGCAAAGGCTGTGCTATGCACGGAAAAGAAGCGATGAACGAGTAAAACCATTTTTCTACAGGCTAGCAAAGCGATCGCCGACTCTATTTACTCGTTGTCGACCTTCTTAAGGTGTCCAGTGATAGACCAAGTAAGTTCAATCAATGGAGATTATATTGTTTAAACACACTTACCTTGACGGTGCAGCGAGTGGAAAGCTGATCTAAAGTGAGCGGCGGTAGCTCCACCACCAAGCTTTGAAAATAAAAAATGAAAAAAAAAATAGAAATAAAGAAATAATAAAATTGCTTTACGTGGGACAATCTAAAATTAAACATTTCCACTCAGGACACTTTCAAAATTGTTGTTTCTGGAGGAGCATCGGTGAAGAGGTCAGTAATTAACCAGCCCAAAAACCCACCAAACAAAGCGAGTGAACTGATTATATTTAGGGTGAGTTTAGGGGATGATGGGTTATGAATGGTAGTTTTCAGCAATCACTTGAATCAAGTCGAGATTGACCTGTGCAACGAACGTTTGGGATCAGTAACAAAATCAAATAATCGATATTACCTGGGCTCTAACTCACAGGATGGTCTGTCTGTGCGTACACAATAAGAACATCGTACAAGGCCTGGCTCACCAACGAATTCCGTTAAAGTTTTATGGAACTTCCAAACACGAAATCGAGCATAACTGACGTTCGAACCTCAACGAGAATCTAATCTATGTTCCGAGCAGCAATAAATATTTCAGATTTCCTATTTCTTTGCATATAAACCTTGACCCATTGAAAACAAAATGCAAAACTTACTCTTGTTTAGGAGAGAGAGAACCTCTGGGTTCACTTCCGTCTGGATTATCACTTTCTGGACTCTTAGCTTTCCTGCTAGCTCTCTTACTGTTTCCGGATTTACACTTTTCCCCTGAAAGAAAATCCAAAGAGAGTAACGAAAAGGAAGAAAAAGTTGCAACTGGTTCGTAACTAGGATAAGAGAGATGGTCAGTTTTGAGCTCGGTAAAAAAATAGAGAAAGATGTTTTTTTCGTCTTGTCACCAGCGTGGGACAAAGAAAAATTTTGAGTACCCATAAAAAATCGAACCTCAGATCTTCTAACCTCTACAGGTCTGAGGTTCGATTCCTCATAGGGACTCAGAATTTTTTCTTTGTCCCACGCTGATGACAAGACAACAAAATATCTTTTTCTGGTTCGTAGCTGTTTATCTTTTTTGGAGGGTTAGATAAAAAATTGAAATAATCCGCCTAATACAAAGCGCTTTCAATGGTTATAGTTTCTTGAACCACACGACCTAGCGAATCTAATCTCGCTGACCGTGATGATGGTACACAAAAAAAACCAAAAAAAAAAAACTACCAAATCTCAGTCAAGCAATATGTTCTTCATTTCGTTAAGTCAGCTTTACCTTTGCCACTGGATATCCTTGCCGACTGTTTCGTTTCGGAGCTTGTTCTGGGTTTTACCTGAACACCAGCCAAGTCGTGAAACTTAAGTTTGAAAAAAAATAACAAATTGTTAGATACTGCAGCCAAAGTAACCACTAACATTTTTAATAGTTCTTTGAACAAACCAAATTTGGTTTGGCTTTATTTTGCTTCCGGCGTTCTATGATTGGCTGAGGAATTCGAGGGAACTGCTTAATCAATCGGAAAACACCAGGCCTTGAGATTACATATGATGACATAAAAGTTTACAACGAAGTAAGAGGAAGGGGTAACTTTACTTACTTCATCGAGATTTGAGGTTCCAGAAAGGTTTTCAAAATTATAGTCTTCATTCTTGTCCATCAGTCTGGTAAAAATTAACAAATAATTTCATAAACGCAATCTACATCATCTATACATTATCCAACACACAGGTGATGAGATTACTCAAACTTAACAGGTGGAAGTGGTTATCTTGATCTAGTACCAAACTCTCGTAACTGATTTTCTAGAAAATTTGGAGCAGCCAGATGAGAGAATTAACAATCAGAACTTAGGAATTTAAAGGTTCATAAAAAGAGTTTGATTTGAATACAACTTCACGGCTGAACGTTATCAAATTAAAGTGATTCGTGTTTACCTCTGAGTAGCAGCTCTGTTCGCCAAGGCATGTGAGAACATCGTGTTTAGCGTTCTTTTAAGACTATTTCTTGCCTGTAACCTTTTATAAACTTCTTCTTGCTTTCGTACCTGTTAAAAACGAGGAAAAATGTATAGGAACTCAACAATATTCTAACTTACAGAGCTTCTTGCTACATGTAATTCACCCTAAGACTTGTTAAAACATCCATGTTCGGCGCAACTGGTCTGCGTTCACCCTATTGGTGCAGTCCGAGATCGACAAGATGCACGCCCTCGACTAAACGACACGGACTTGTTAAAAAAACGTTGTAAGATAGCCAAGTTTTAGGAGCATTGTTTTTTTGCAAATAAACAAATTCTGAAATAAAGAAATTGTATTTGGCAGTGGCACATTCACCAAGAGGCTCTTTGTCCTGTCCTAAAATTAGGACCATTGTTTTGTCAGTATCTGAGCAACTGCGTACCTTCAGAAATGTGCTCCTCCTTTACCTCAACAACAGTTAGATTAGGTTAGGGGTTGGGTATGTGCGCAAACTACTGACACAGTTCCCATTTTTTCTGTGCCGTAGTAAACACAAAAAAAATTAAGATAAAAATTAAGAGGACGAAAACCGACATATGCGGCTAAGTCAATCGAACTCCTACGATGTACAGCTGTAGGGAATTTGACAAAATAGCTTTTGTCGGCGGAGTTTGCAACTAAAATCAAGACGGACAAAGGAATAGAGAGTAAATTTTTAAAGAAACTGTGATGATGCGCCGGTGGGGATTATAACAAGATGATTTGGCTTTATCAACTGAATTGACAATGTAACTTGACTACCGTAGAGAATTTGTAAGCTAATTCCCAAACTGTGTCATTCTGTACCTCTTCGGGGTCCGGTTCTGGCTCACCAAACTCCAATCTGTAGGCTGCCAATGGAGGGAACTCAACCTGGAGAGGGAGTCGAAGATACACATGTTGAACATACGACAATATTCATGGCGGATTTTCCGTCGGTACTGTTTTAACTCGTGCATGAAATATTTAGCCGCACTAATAATTCTTTTGAGTATGAAAAGGAAAATCAAATGTTCAAGAAACACGACAGGAAAAAAGCAAAGATTAAACAATTGTATTTTCCAACCCAAATTTTACGCTGGTTTTCTCGTGGATTTGAGAAAACTAGCGTAAATGTTCCAATAGGTATATACAGCTAGAAATTACTGAGCATGCTTACGGCCAATACAACAGGCAGTCCATACATGAAACATAACAAGGTAATTTGGCTATGTACATTAACTGAGTTGATTATGGAAATTAGACACCGTCCAGATTTTCTAAAACTGACGTTTCGAGCGTCAACACCTCCGTCAGTGTGAAGAGAAGGTCTAACGCTCAAAACGTTGGCTTCAGAAACTTTTTACGGTGGCCAATGTACATTTATCAATTCGATCGATAGATTATCTTATTACTAGTCTTGGTGTGAGAAACTATGGCTGGGGGGGTGGGGGGGAAGTAGTGAGGCTAGGGAGAAGAGGTCTTTTTCTCTACCAGAAGTCATTGTATTTTCCCCCATCACTTAATCTACCCTTTCCTCCCTTTGCATGGTATGTACCACTCTCTCTGTTGACAGTTCATAAAAAAAACTTACTTTTTATCTACCTGAAAAGCAATCATTCCCTTCAACTTACCTTGGGGAATTTTTGTTCAATTGGTATTATTGTTGGGGTTGGAGTCTTCTTTGCTTTCTGTTTACCACTGGAAACATGTGCACTTGACTTCCTGCTTCCTCTAGTAACACCTGAGCAGGGAGTGGAGGGCTTGAAGTAAAAAGTTAGAAGAAAGTAAATCAATACAGCAATTGGAAAAAGGGGCTCTTTGGGAATGTACAGTGTAACTGACTAGTTCTGTTTTGTTAGTACACAAGTTTGAAAATTACAGTTAGTTGAGAAACTGAGACTGAAAACTGTACATAAGATAATTCACTAATGGCACCTACAGTAAGTATTGTGCGAATTCCATGAGTAGTACTCCTCCAAGTCGACACAGCAGTTGCACCTTTAAATTTTTTCTTGCTTGTCCTCTTTGCCTGTTGAGATGATGCACTTTCTTCATCTTGAGTCAGCAATGCTTTTTTGTTGTGTTCTTTGTGGTAGTTTCTTATCCTTTCCCACGAAAGTTGACCTGCAAAATGATGTATACTTAAAATCAAATGATCATTTGAACACTAAAACATGTCAAGCTGTAGTAAGGTTTTTATGCTCAAAACAATTGAATTCTAAATTACAGATTTAACCTTTTACACCCTAGGATCAGTATACATATTCTCCCTACTGTTCTCTATACATTTCCTCAAGTGCTGAAAAGGAGAATTTGTTTAACAATCAAGAGCTTGTTAATTTGGTGATCATTTTCTTCATTCTCGAGACCTTAATGGGTGAATCAGGGGTGATGAAGAAAGGAGAAATTAGATGCTGGTCACTCTTGGGGGTCAAAGGTTAAAAGTACATTTTATAGAATTCAAATTCCCTTATATAAAGTAATGTGTAATAGTGGCATCTGAGAAATGTCTAGAAACTAAATAAGATTAACCATATTCATATGTGAGAACTTCATATCAAACATTTACCATCTTCAAGGACTTCTTCTAAATTTTCTGGCACAGTGATAAAGTCCCAGAATTCTTTGATTTCATGGTTCTTGTTAAGCAATCCTTCCTTCTTCATTTGGTTTTCAAGACTGATCATCTGGAGAAAAAAACATAAAACCAACAGCATGAAGAGTTTTGAAAATAGACTGACGTCTGTTACTCTCTGAGCTTATGCCCACTCCATCACTTTGCTGTATGTGTAGTATTTTCTAGATTTACTTACTTTGTAAAAGTCTGTTTGTAAACCCTTATTGAACTGGACATCATTGATGACAATGGATCTTGGAAGCTTACGAACAACTTTATGCTGCATTTCTTCCTGTGGATAGAATTTGAATGCAGTTGAATTATACATACATATACTATTTTTCATGGAATTCCACAGTATCATAAACAATCTGGGTGGTAATGTAAAGTTAACATCATATGGAATTTGAACCACATGTAGTTAATCTTACATACATGTACAGCTGTACCTGTTGATGTTCTGCAGCTTTTATTTCTTCATCATGTTTAAGCTTCCTTTGTTGTTGGCTTTTTCTTTGCTGATCCACTTTATCCTGCAATGCTTTTTTGTATTCTGCCTTGTAATAGTCACGCAATAACAGAAGACCTTGTACTAATTCATCATGCTCCTGAAAATGTAAAGGCAACTGTAATCACCACATATGCACATTTCTTGAAAGTCCCAATAACTTTATGAGCCAATACACAGTAATGTGATCTAAATTAATGTAATTATTTTAATATTAATTATTTTAATTATTTTATTTTTAATTATTTTAATTAATTAAAATTACAATTAATCAGTCAATGGCAGTTTATTTCAAGCAATTACCTTTTCTTTCATCTTTCTGATATTTTCCTGCTCCTCCTCGTCCACCTCTTCTTCCTCTTCATCCTGCACTGTTGTCATACTCTGTTGAAGTTTTTGATTAGGTCCCTGAAGAATCATTCCATGATGAGATGGCAGTTTCTTGAGCTTACTGGCTTTCCTTTTAATCTTCTTCTCTTCTTTCACCTTTAAATTACAATTTCCAAATGAGTGAAAATAACATTAGTAGGTGACAAGCCCTCTGCATGCCTCATAGCACACTCTTGCCAAAATCGAACACCTCTGGTTTTCAAAGACTATATTTCCTCAAATAAGTGCCCATGCTCTAATAGGCACCATTCTTCTTTTACATTTTTAGATCCTGCATGTAAAATTTTTGTCAATAAATGACATAACTATATTTATTTCAGGGTCCAAAAGAAAAGAAAGAGATTTAATGCTTTAGTACATGTACCTCATCAACCTCTTCATCTTGTTCTGGTTCCCTATATTTTTCAGCATGAATTGACATTTGTCGATCCAGATGTTTTGATAAATCATCACTTGACATGTAGTCCACTATCATTGGTGGAAATGTAGACTGTAGATGTTTCCTTAAAAGAAAAAAAAGTTGCTAAATACATCTTTATACTGTAAATATACCAAAAAATGTTGCAAATATTATCAGTGGATTAGCAGAGAAACATCACCTATTTAACAAGCTATTCAACTGAGCCATTTAAGGACAGACCTCTTAGCTCAATTGGGTGATTTTTTCATTCTGATTTAAACACAGAGTGTTACACACTCAGGTTAATCCTGTGACCCCTAAGAGTGATTGGTAGCTAATTTCTCCTTACAGTATAACTGCTGAAAAAACATTTAGGTCATTAGAATAAAAGAAATGATTGCCAACTAGTGAAGCTCTTGATAAGGGAACAAATTCTCCCTTTCAGTAACACTGGAAATGTGAAAATAACAGTATGGAGAACATGCATACTGATGTTAGGGTAAAAGGGTTGACATACTGGAATATCAGCTGAGTTATCCTAATGGAAAAGGTATGACTTCATGAACTTTCATCTTGATAATTATCAAGAAAGAATGCTCTGATTTGGATTTCTTGCCCCCTAAAACCTATCACCTAGAATGAGTACATCAAAAAATTTTATGTTCAAGAAAAAGGTTGGCTGGGAAATGTATCCGAAGTTATCAAAAGCCTTGTTAAGTAATGGTTTCAACCCTGTCGTAACATTTTGTCGCGTAACCTGATTGTTCGGTTGAGAGTGGCCTTGAGGTAAGGACGACTGTTGTCGGTAGAAGTGACTGACGTTTCGACAACCTTGGCGGAGGTCATCATCAGAGTCGATGATGATTCCACTCAGGTTACCAAAATGTCAGTCACGAAGTTGGAAAACAGTTCTTCTCAGGACCACTCTCACCCAGACGATCAAGCCACACCATCAGTAATTAAAGCCCTTGGACAGAATGACAAATCAATGCAATTTCTAAGTGTTTTCTACACTCACCGTTTATTAATGACATGAATTATTAATTTCCTTACCTGGTTGGGTTTCTGGATAACGTTTGAGTCTTGTTACTGTCCATGGTTTTATTATCACAGTAGAAATCTTCTGTCAACAAACTTCGGGATAGATTTGAACTACTCGGTCTCTTCACAATGTCCTAAAAACTGGGTCGTGATTGTTTGCTGAACACTCTTTTTGCTGAAAATAATACTTATTCAATTTCTCAATCGTTCAGAATGTCAAAGTAAGATCAGTTAGGAAATGTGCAGTTCACTGTTGATTTGCCTCCATGTTGTTTATAGGAACCAGGTGAGTTTCTAAGAACGATTAATAAACTAACAATGCCTCTGATTGGTCAAAATGTGGAATCACCTGGAAATGACCAACCAGAGGAGGTTTCATGTTGTTAACAAAGAGCCCGCGAGACTTAGGTACCTTGCTACGTGTCTATTCAAAATGGCGGCTAGTTTGTAATAGTAAATACTTTCGCATTTTTGGCTTTTTTGCCAAATTCTGTCGTAATGTTTTCAGTGTAGTTACGATGGTGCACGAACAAGCCATCGATAATGGAATGCACACCAAAATGTCGCCTTACCAAGCACGCCGATCTGGTGCTATCCGCGATTACCAAGGAAGATGCTGCATCGATTCGAGCGATCTTGCCCCGAATCTGCTCGAACTTTGCGCGCGTTTCGGATCAGTTTGGTCGAAATGCCTTGCATTTGGCAGCATCTTGCGGCAAAGGCGACATTTTGGAATGGCTGGTGAAAGATCAAGCTCTTGATGTGGGATCGAAAGATCTGGAGTCTGGCTGGACTGCCCTGCACAGAAGCTTGTTTTATGGATATCTTGACTCAGCTGTGAAGTTGATTCAGGTACACACTTGTAACTCTGTAATCTGATTCATGTTAGTGTGAAACCGATGTATGCGTACTCTGTAGACTGAAATACAATCTAATGTAACGTTAAATTACAAGTGCATGTACCTGCAAGTAAACCATAACGAAACCAATGCAAATGTAAACAGAACAATCGATGGAGGGTTGAAAACTCAACTTTTTTTTCTTCTTTCATATTTTCAATCATCATCCTGATTGTTCATTGTAAAGCTTGGCTCAGATCTGGGTTGGTATGACAGAGAAGGCCTCACTCCATACGATCTCATTCGCTTGGATGCACCATTCCAAATCGCAAAAGGAGGTGGGTGTTTTTTATTATTATGATTATTATTATTATTGGAAGTTTAAAAATAAACCAGAAATAAGAGATAAGGCAAAATGCTATGTGAATCTCTGGAGGTTCTTGTTTATAAGTTAAAAGTATATTACACATTGGTAACATTGCAGTGGAATCTGGATTGAATGGTTGGGTTTAAGCCCTTTTGAGCCCAGTTCATTGTGTTGTGTCTTTGGCCAGAAACTTTACTCTTTCAATGCCACTCTCCACTCAGGAGTGCAAGTACATGGAGGTACTGTGGTACTTTTTAACTCTCTGGGAGACTTGATGAAATAGTGAGAGTCAGAGTAACCTACAATAGACTTGCATCCCAGCCAGGGAAAGTAACAATGTTTACTCCTAGTTGCTACATGCCATGGGAAGCGAAACAGTCCAGTGGCATGGGCAACTTGGCTCAAAAGCTGTCTCAAAACTGTGCCTTTACCTTTTACACTTAACAAAACTGACTGTTACATTTTGTAGTAAGCAGCAACATACATCTGGGATCATGTGCTGCACGGCCATTCCTCTTTTACATTGGAGATAGAGATAGAGTACAATGTCTCTTTACCCTTTAACTCCCAGATCAAAATTTTAATTCTCCTTACTGTCAATCATACAATTCTTACAATATTAGTTCAAAGAACTTAGTATTGGATTAATTAATAATTATCCCCAAGTTGATATTTTTCTTTATTCATATCTCTTGTCTGGTTGATATTGTATTGATATTGTAAGGAGAAATTCTGTCTTGGTCACTCATGAGAGTGAAAGGGTTAAGTCACTGAACTCACTGTGTGTTTTTACCAACACTATATAGTCCAAGCTCAAGCTGTGTCACCTTACGAAACCTCTTTGGAAGATGAACTTCAGTTACAAGTTGGCGATATCATAAAAGACATTCACATGAATGATGGCAGTTACTGGACTGGTTATTTGAAGGGGAGGCGAGGCCATTTTCCAAAAGATCATGTTGAGCTTTTGTCTGAAGGTAACTGTTATACCCTGATTTCAAAATATTCTGATAAGGCTTGGAGGTTAAAATTATTCCTGGCCAACTTACAGTATGATTACTATTAAATTATTTTTGTTTTTCAACAAGCCTATCAATTGGAACTATTTACCTGGGGATCCAACACAAACTTCACTCTTGGTCACAGAGATGAAAGCACAAGACACACACCTGAACTGGTTGAAAATGTCCAAGGAGAGACAAAAATTTCTTTCAGAGAGGTACAGACAGTCTGTGGTATGGTTATTCAAAACTGGCTCAGACATTGTTGACATTTCTGGCATGAGCATTTTAAATAAATTGTTTTACTGTACATTGGTGAATAAAGAATTTTTTTGGTTTATGTAGCCAGTTTCATCAAATTTTGTTTATGTATTCTTAAGGTTGTCATGTGCAAGTTTCATTCTGTGTTCTTGAGCATGGATGGTAGAGTTTTCACCTGTGGTCATGGCAGAGGAGGTCGGCTGGGGCATGGTAATGAAGAGACACATCTAGTAAGTTCTGCATGATTCATAAACTTTTAAGTTTGGCATAGAATGGAACAGAGGTGGGCAAGCCTAGTGGTTTATGTTGGTTTACTAGCTGCATGATCAAAAAGTCTATGACAGTCTTGGCTATGTCTTTGTATTATGTTCGTAAACAAGTTGCATACAATTTGTAACTCTTGGATTGCATCAGTCTTCACTCAGGAGACTATAAATGGACTTTGTTGAACTGTCACGGAAACTGATGAAATTATGAGGGGTAATCTTGCATTGGAATTGGGTAAATCCCATCTTGGGCATAGTTGCTGTATTCCTAGTACCTTGAGGGTACTGCAATCAGAATAAACTTCAAAAGGATAAGTTGACTTTTGCAAGCTTTAACTTTTCTTTAACTTTGCCTCTGAATTCAATTCCCTTAACTACTTGATTGTACTGAGCCCAATGAATCTGCAATGAACCTTGCTTCCAGACTCTTCATACAGGAATATTGTTTGTTACTTAATTATGTTACTTCATTCCAAATGAAGGAAGAACAGTTTACAAGGCTTAGCTTATTCATTTGTTAATTTGTAGGTGGTAAAAGAGGTAAAAGCTTTACAGGGTATCAATTGCGTGTCAATTGCTGCTGGCCAGGATCATACAGTGGTAGTCACAGATGAGTAAGTGGAGAATAAGATTACCAACAAAAGTTTTATAAAATTTTTATTTGAAAAAAAGCAATTAACAAACAGTAGTCACTAAACAATAATTAATGATGGACACAACACTTTACTTGCAGGTATGTCACTGAAACATTATTAAGCTTGAAAATTGTGGTAATTGACAGATTTACCAAGTAAAACTTCTCTTCTCTTGTCAGTGGCTCAGTTTACACGTTTGGTCTAAATGATTCTCATCAGCTTGGACATGGGCAGTCACCTTTGCCAAAACAGTGCCTTTTACCAAAAATGGTGATTATAGTTTTGTGATTATTTACTCACTATTTGTAAACTTTGAAGATTTAACATACTGGTACATTTGTATCATCTATGAACCCCTTTGACCCCAAAGAGTGACTAATATCTAATTTCTCCTTACAATATCACCCCCAAATCACACATTAGGATCTTTAGGATCACAAGTTAGAGTAATGGAAATGATCACCAATTGATTATCAAAGCTCTTGATTGTTTAACACATTTTCCTTGCCAGTGCTGTAGGAAATGTACAGTACATGGAAAACATTGCATATTAAGCATACTGATGCTAGGGTGTATAGAGTTGACATATTATTACGGAATGATTCAACCTAAAAACTGCACACTCTTTATTTATAAAAAGTTTATTTTAACTGCTTGCTAATGAATTGTGTTCAACTGAACAGGTACACCTGAAGGTTTGGAGAGGCAAAGATGTTGTAGGGGCTGCAGCAGGACGATATCACTCAGTTTTCTTTACCAGACATGAAGTTTACTCCTGTGGCCTTAATGCTGGCCAACTGGGTAGGAATTCTTTACTTTCTAGATCAATAAAATCATTATTACACTTTAGCAGGGAAATTGGAGAAAAAAATGGGAAAAGTATTGTAACTGTGCACAAATGCAATGAACTGAGGCATGTTAGGTTTTAATTTTTGTATCTTACTAGTTTAAAAGGTGGTGAAAGTTTTCCAGATTTAAGTCATAGAGTGAAGTGAAGCAAAACTGACTGAGAGTGCAATCCTGGAATATTTTCAACACTCAATTGAAAATTGCTTGAATGTAACACTATTAATATCTATATTACTTCTTTTTGCAGGCCATCAAAAAGGAGAAAAATACCAAACACTTCCTCGTCAGGTAATAAACTTAAGGTGTTCTTTGTCTATTAAATACTTTGTATTTTAGTATTAACTCTTGTTAGGTGTTCAATGCATACAAAGCACAGCAATTTGTAAAAATGTATTTTTTTTACTGTGTCCTCTATAAATTCCTGCATCAATTCTGATAAAGAACTTGATAGCCTATTCATGAGTTTGTGCAGTGGTTCAATGTTCAGGAAATGCCAAACTGATTGAGGCCAGAGAGTGAGCCAGCTTTCTTCCTCCTACATAATTAGATTAAAATACTCCAATTTTGTGCATTATGCTTGAGCTCCTTCATTCCAGAGATAAAAACATTTTTAGTTTCTCATTATTATTTTAGGTAAGTGGATTGGCAGATAAAGGCGTCACCATCAATAAAGTGACCTGTAGTGATGGAGCCACAGTGTGTGCAACCGACAAGGGAGATATCTTCTTGCTAAACCAGTACATGTGTCGCAAGATTATTTCCAGGTAAGAAATACCTAGTAGTGCAACAAATTGTATGACGCTTAACTCAAAAAAAGTAGAATAGTGCAATTTTTTTATTACTTTCTTCATTTTACCTTGAGGTTCACTGACTTGGTTCATATATCTGTGATTGGAGGGGAGCTTGATATGATATCTCCTCAAGAAGTCAGTAAG